GTGGTGTGTTCTTGGTAAGTTCCAGAGTCAGGTGTCTGCCACCACAGTAACACACAGAGTATTTCCATACCCCCAAATCCCTTCTGTGGTCCCTTTTAGTCAACCCCTCCTTTCTCTCCCAACCGCTGGCATCCACTGATCTACTTTTCTCCCCTGTTTGTTTGTTTTTTTCTAGACTGTCATATGAATAGAATGCTGCATTATGCAGTCTTTTTCATTTGATTTCTTTCACATGGAAAAATGCATTTAACATTTACTCATGTTCTTCCACAAATCAGTAGTTCTTTTGTTGTTCCTGAGGAGTAGTCTATTGTGGATGTACCACAGTTTGTTTATCCATTCACCTTTCAACAGATGTCTTAGCTATTTCCAGTTTTAGTGATTATGAATAAAGTTGCTATAAACATTTGTGAGTACACTTGTGTGAACATAAGTTTTCAATACATTTGGATAAACAGCTAGGATTAAAACTTCTGCTTGGCATATTAATTCTGTATTTACCATTTTTGGAATGCTGAAGTATTTTCCAAGTGGCTGTACCATTGTGCATTCCCATCAGCAATGAACAAGAATTTCTATTGCTCTGCATCTTCTCCAGCATTTGGTATTGTTAGCTTAAAAAAAAATCAAAATGCCATTAGTGATAAATTATTGTGTTTTACTAGCATTTCCCTAATGACTGATATTGAGCATCTTTTCATGTGCTTATTTGCCATTTCTGTATCTTTTCTTATAAGTGTCTATTCAGATGGTATGCCCATCTTGAGTTTTGTTGTTGTTCTGTTTTCACTGCTGAGTTTAAGAGTGCTTTATATATTATGGTAATTCCTCAACCCCCAGACTCGGGCTTATGTTTTCATTTTCTTAATACTATTTTTTATAAAACAAGTTTTAAACTTTTATAAAATGCAATTCATCAATTTTTTATGTATTGATTATGCTTTTTGTTGTCATATCAAAAAACTTATTGCCAAACCTAAAGTTATACAGAGTTTCCATTTTCTTCTAAAAGTTTTCTAGTTTCACACTCTACACTTAGATCTATCATCCATTTCGAGTTAATTTTTGGATACAGTATGAGTTATATGTCAAGATTCATTACTTCTGCATAGGGGTACCCATTTGTTTCAGCATCTGTGGGAAAGACTATCATTTCCCCATTGATTTTCTTTGCACTTTGCCAAGAATTAGTTGACTTCATTTATGTTGGTCTATTTCTGGACCTCTTTTCTATTCCATCCTGTACAATAAAAGCCTAATATGCTAAGTGTCTGGTCATCCAGTCAGCCATTCAACCAATCAAAGCGTAATATGCTAATGATATGCTAAGGTTGCTCAACCGCTTGCTATGATGTGCACTGACCACCAGGGGGCAGATGCTCCAACAGGTAGGTTAGCTTGCTGCTGGGGTCCAGCCAATCAGGACTGAGTGAGATGTGCTGGACACACCCTGGTGCCCTCCCAGGGTCCCTCCCCAGCTGGTCAACCTCCTACATCCTTCCCTGCCCCAATTGTGCATAGGTTGGGTCACTCGGCCTGGCCTGCACCCTCTCACAATCTGGGACCCCTTGGGGAATGTTGGAGAGCAGGTTTCAGCTCAACAGCAGGACTGGTTGCTATGACAAGACCTGCACTGACCACCAGGGGGAAGATGCTCAATGCAGGAGCTGTCCCTGGTGGTCAGTGTGCTCCCACAGGGGGAGCACTGCTCAGCCAGAGGCAAGTCTCAAGGCTGGCAAGCACAGTGTTGGTGGTGGGGGAAGCCTCTCCTACCTCCACAGCAGCGCTAAGGATGTCCTACTGCTCTATAAGTACCCATCAACTATGCTATGGTTTGATTTTTTGCCTTTCTGATAAATGTTAGAATTAGGGGTTGCTACATTTTGAAAAAGCTTGAGATTTTTTTAAGCCTCACCTGAGGATATGTTCATTGATTTTTTTAGATAGACCTGTGGTCGGCAAACTGCGGTTAGCGAGCCACATGCGGCTCTTTGGCCCCTTGAGTGTGGCTCTTCCTAAGCCTTAGGAGTACCCTAATTAAGTTAATAACAATAGAGATAGAGATAGAGATAGAGATAGAGATAGAGATAGAGATAGAGATAGAGATAGAGATAGAGATAGAGATAGAGATAGAGATAGAGATAGAGATAGAGATAGAGATAGAGATAGAGATAGAGATAGAGATAGAGATAGAGATAGAGATAGAGATAGAGATAGAGAGATAGATAGATATGAATGTGAGAGAGAAAAGGGATCAGATGCCACTCCCATGGGCCCCCACCGGGCATCGAACTCCCAATTTAGATATGTGCCCTGACCAGGAATGGAACCTGCAACCTTTTGGTATATGGGAAGATGGTCCAACCAACTGAGCCACCTGGCCAGGGCTAAAAAGCTTGAGATTTTGGTTGCAATTGCATTGAATCTATAGATAAAATTGGGTAGAATTTATTCAAATTATTTTTAAATTTCATTTAGCCATATTTTATAGTTTTCAACATATAGGTCCCAGACGTATTTTGTTAGACTTATAAATAAGCACTGCATTTTGGGTGATGTTGTTTTTAGTTTAAAATTTCATTTGTTCATTCCTGACATATAGGTATATGATTGCCTTTTGTATTTTGAATTTATACCCCATAACCTTGCTTAACTCACGTTTTAATTTTAAGAGATTTGGGGCAGTTTCTTTGGAGTAGGAGTGGATATGGACAATATGCAAGTAGAGACACTTTTCTTTTTTCTTTTGAAACCTGTACACCTTTTGTTTCTTTTACTTCCCTGGTTCATCTGACAGGACGTCCAGTCCAATGTTGAAAAGGGTTGATAAAAAACAGCACTCTTGACTAGGGGTTTCTTGCTATTAAGTATGATGCTCGTTATTCCTAGGCTTTTTGCAGATGCCTATTATTAGGCTAAACTATTTCTCCTCTAACCCACGTTTATAATTTTTATCATAAATGTATATTGAATGTTATTAAGTGCTTTTTCTGTATGTATTAAGGTCATCATGTGATTTTAAAATTTTTTTATTTAATCTGATAATATGGACATTATAATTGATTTTTGAATAACGAATCAGTTTTGTTGTCCTTGAATGAAATCCACTTGTTCATGATGTATTTGTTTTGGTAAATTTTTTTTTTAGGATTTTTGCAAGTATAATCTTTATTTTTTCTTTTTTTGTTTGTGTAATCTCTTTATTTGATTTGGGTCTTCCATACTGTCTTATAAAATGAGTGATAGTTCTCTCCTCTTCTATTTTCTGGAAGGGATTGTGGGTATTATATTTTATTTATTTGTTAATTGTTGGATAGACTCCATCAGTGAAAATATCTGAGCCTGGATATTTCATTTATGAATTTTTTTTCAAAACTGTGAATTTGGTATTTTAAAATATATATAAGATTAATTAGGTTGTCTATTCTTTTTTTTTTAAAATATATTTTATTGATTTTTCACAGAGAGGAAGGGAGAGGGACAGAGAGCCAGAAACATCGATGAGAGAGAAACATCGATCAGCTGCCCCCTGCACACCCCCCACTGGGGATGCGCCCGAAACCAGGGTACATGCCCTTGACCGGAATCGAACCCGGGACCCTTCAGTCCGCAGGCCGACACTCCATCCACTGAGCCAAACCGGTCACGGCAGTTGTCTATTCTTTTTTTTAAACATTGAGACTTTTAAAAAAATGATTTCAGAGAGGAAGGGAGAAGAAGAGAGGGATAGAAGCATCAATGATGAGAATCATTGATTGGCTGCCTCCTGCACGCCCCCTACTGGGAATGGAGCCCACAGCCCAGGTATGTGCCCTTGACTGGAATTGAACCCGGGACCCTTCAGTCCGCAGGCCAACGCTCCTCCCACTGAGCCAAACTGGCTAGGGCAGGGTATCTATTCATTCAGTTTTGGTAGTTTACATCTTTCAGGGAATGATTCCATTTCAGTTGCTGGATATATTAGCATAAAGTTGTTTACTAGTACAATATCCTTTCTCTTATTTCTTGACCTAAAAGCCTCAGTTGTTTATATTGGAATTCTTCTTTTCTAATGTAAGCATTTAATTATATGTATTTCCCTCTAACTACCACTTTAGCTTTAATCTATGCATTTTAATCTGTTGCACTTATATTTTCACTTAGTTAGAAATATTTTCTTAATTTTCCTTGACACTTCCTCTCTGACTCATGGATGATTTAGAGTACTTGACCCAGGAACTACTAATAAGCAAGAGGTGGTGCTGTGGGGCGTTTATCAGTTGCTTAGGAAATGGCTGCATATTTCTCTGTCTTCAAATTCATCATATCAGTTAATATTAATATAGCTTTGAGAAATCTGGAGTAAATTAATTAATTTATTTAATCCTCTTCTCGCATAAAATGGCTAATGTTATAAGATTTTAAAGGTGAGGTAACATACATGAAACAATTGTGGTTTGGCACATAGTACATGGTAAATAAAAATGTGCTATTATGATTTATAATAGTTGTTGGTGGTGTTTTTGTCATTGTTTTATTTTTAGATTTACTTCATTGGCTCTGAGCTTGAAATGTTGGGATGGGTATGAAGGAAAAAATATAAAGTAATGGAATGCAAACTCTAGAGAAGTCACAGAGATAAGATTTACCTGTTCCTATCATTATTATTATTATTTAGTTTATTGATTATAGCTTTATTGTAATGTATTGCATTCATTTGAAGACCCCCTACCCACTTTGTGAACCTCACCTGGCCTCCCCAGAATCAAAGATTGGTATCCCTGGGCATAATTAGCCATTTACAAGTGCATTACAAAGGGGATGAGGCTGTGTAATACCACAGATGGTGCACCAAGTATGAACAATAACTCAGGACTCTGCATATGTCTTAAGCCTTCCTCATTCAGCAACGTCACTAAAAAAGTGCTGTGCACTCAGAATTCAAAATCCCCTCCCCCCCGGTTACTTTCTCTGGTGTCTTTGGGAATTTGATTGACACTCTGCTTTCTTTTCTTAAACAGGTGGGCTCTGCATTGCCCAGTCCGTGAGAATCCCCCAGGAGCGCAAAGACAGGACCATTGACTTTGATAAGATTATCAAACAGCTCCTGGACACCCCCAACTCCAGGGCCGTCGTGATTTTTGCCAACGATGAGGATATAAAGTAAGGATGACTGGTGACATTTGTTAGTATGCATGCTGCAAAGTTAGCAAAAAGGAAGATCCCGATACTGGCGGAGATAGCGGAAAAGAGAGCAAAGAATCAACTCTATAATCACACAGTGGCCAAGTCTGTATGTGCTTTCTACCGCACACACGATTACTGTGAACCATGGAAGCGGCCCTGTGCTGCTGTCCTGTCCTGTCTTTCCCACCTATTAGCAAAATAATGGATTTGATTACAGTGGGGCCTTGACTTACGAGTGTCCCTACTAACGAGTTTTTCGAGATACGAGCCGTCTCTCGGCCGATTTTTTGCTTTGAGTTGCGAGCTAAAATTCGGGTTACAAGCCAGCTTCAGATACCCCACCGCTAGTTGGCGCAGCGAACGTCACAGTGAATGCCACAACATCAGCCCAGCATCACGTGTCTCACTCGTTCACTTTTTGATTTGACATACGAATAATTTGAGTTACGAGCTCTGTCACGGAGCGAATTAAACTCGTAAGTCAAGGTCCCACTGTACTTATAAAAAGAGAAAACCACTAGACCTTTGCAAGTTTCTTTTATTAAAAATCTATCCAAATGTAACGGACTTACCCAAAGAATGTTCCTCTTAATGTAAAAGAAAAATGTCATAATGCTGGCTAGATTGCTGCAGCTTCAGATTCCATATGTTCAAAACCACACTTGCCACACCTCTACATTCTCGATCTACCTTTTCCTCTCTCTTTCCTCATCTCCATCCTCCTTGGAGTGAAAAATCTGATTGTAATCTCGACTTTCCTTTTTTCCTCATTTGCTGCATTCTTGGCCACGCCATGAAGAGCTAACCTCTAAAGTGTTTCTAGAACCCAAACACCCCCCGCTTTCTTTACTTACCGCCACCAGCCTGACCAAGAATCCTTATTTATTTATCTTTTTTAGAATAAAGTGTAATTACACGTGATTAAAAACTCAGAAACAATACAAAGATCTGGGGGAAAGTAAAAGCCCCTTCATCCTGTTCCCTAGCTGACAAGTTGTGCCTCCCAGTTTCTTACAGGTTCTTCTGGGGGCGGTCCGTCTTTTACACAAACCACTACATACTGTGTGTACATCCTCCTCCCCTCCTTGCTAGCCCTCACTTACCATTGTGTCGTGGAAGTCCTTGAATGCCAGTACCTATAAATCTATTCAGTCTTTTTAATAGCCGTGCAGAATTTCATTTTATATCTATATTGTAAATCATCTAACTGCCCCCTTATTGATTGACATTTAAGTTTGATTACAGAGTTTTATAACCATAAATAATGCTGCAGTAAACCTCCTTTTTCAAAAATCTGCATGCACAAATATAAGTATACACATGGTATGTAACATATATATGTGTGAAGATATAATAATATCTACAAATGTATAATAATATACAAATCTATTATTTTATACATTTATAGTCTATGTATTCATAAATTCCTAGAAAAGAAGTTTCCAGGACAAAGATATGTCCCTTCTTAAACAATATATGAATATTGTCTTATAAAGAGGTTGTGCAGCTAACGCTTCTGCTTATGTAAAAGAGCTGTGTAGGTTTTATGAGATCTTTGCCTTATAGTTTAAAATACTACATTATTTAATTTGAAGGTTAATATCTTTTATCAAGGGTAAATCTATGGGCCCAGCCTGTTATTCCATCCTGCTGGGATTATTGCATTACTAGAGGCCTGGTGCATGGAATTTGTACACGGGTAGGGTCCCTAGGCCTGGCTGACAATCAGGGCCGATCTGATTAGGGCTGATCTGCAGGGTGACCAGTGGGACAATCAGGGGGCCCCCACTGGCACCCGCCTTGGCTGGCCTGGGGCCTGTGGGCTGGGGGCAGCTCCTGCTTTGAGCGTCTTCCCCCTGATGGTCAGTGTGCATCATAGTGACTGGTCGTTCCACCGTTTGGTCGATTTGCATATTAGGCTTTTATTATATAGGATCATCATGGCCAGCCTCCCAGTCTGCATCTTTCCCTTCCCAGTGCCCTACATGCTGCCTCTGAATCCACCCATCTTGCCAGTATTAAGCTCTGATCATGGGTGTCAGGACTGTTCAATGCAGCGTGTGAACCCGAGGTTGGGAAAGCTGAGGTTTGTACGCTACTTAAATGAGCACTGTCTCGCCTTGGCCGGCGCCCCTCCCTGTCTTGCTTTCCAACTTTGGAGGCCTCAGTTCTCTCATCAATACAATCAAAATCCTTTGGAGCAGTTTTTATGGTGATTCTGCCTCAGCTACCCTAGGAATACCTCACTCCATGCTCCCTCATGACTGCTACAGAGTAGGCACTGGGCCCATTTGTGTTTCCTCCTCCGGGTCTCTGCACGTTCTCTTCCACCTGCTGAGAACACTGTTTGCTTCCCCACTTCATTGCCTGATGACCTCTCTACCATTGCTTTCTGAACAATGTTGATTTCTCTGAGCAATGCAGCTTTGGAAAATTCTTCGTAGTTTGTGTCACAGTTGTCGTTTTATATCATTTAATTTTTTTTAAAATTTAGCATTTGTGTTCTCCATTAATCCATAAGCATCATTAGGGTAGAACCATAGCAGGGTAGAGATGATGGCTCTTTGTTTTTATTCCAGCCTATACTACATTAATCTTTTAGAACCACTTCCAATTTATGATATTCTTTGCTGATATTATTTTTGTTTATTTTTTAATCTGAGGCTTTAAATTTTTATTTTTCAATTATAGTTTACATTCAGTATTACTTTATATTAATTTCAACTTGCCAGAAAAGCTGTGGTACATGTATGTAATGGCCATAAAAAAGAATGAAATCTTACCTTGTGTCACAGCATGGATGGACCAAGAGGGCATTATTACTCTAAGTGACATGTTAGACAGAGAAAAACAAATATCAAATGATTTTACTTATATGTACAATCTAAAGACCAAAAAGCAAACAAGCAAAAGATGCAGAGAACAGACTGATGGTTGCCAGAGGGGAGGGTTGTTGGGGGGCTGGGTGTCCTCAGGCCCTATTACAGTACTCAGTACATAGGATATTCTTAATAAATGGCATTCAATGGGTGAACAAAATGCCTAGTCAAATGCCCACTATCTAATAATTTAAATACAGGCTTGCCTTGCTGACCTTCATGATGTCTTCACAAGTGGTTCTATTTTAACAGCTATAACTCCTCTCCACTCTCCCAGTTCTCCTCCCAAAAGGCATGACTCTGGTCCTGCAATACCTCCTGGTCCCTCCTCCATCATGGCTTTTGTTTGTAGTGTTTCTTCTCTCTTTCTCTACCTGTTGCAAGTGTGTCTGTTCTTCAAGGTTTACTTCAAACAGCCTCTTCTCTATGGGCACTGTTTCTGATCACCCCTTATTTCTCTCCTTATAAAATGCTGACTATTTTGCTCTTAGGGCATTTTCTTTCATACTTTGTGATTTAGTTATTTCAGCGAATTTTTATTTCATAATATAACCCTGTTTTTTTGCTCCAGGTTTTGTCAACTCTATTGATACCTTTCTTAATCATCTCATATATCTTTTTCATACATATTTTATACATTTAAAAATATGTAATACATTGATAAGGTGTGGCTTTGTGTTTATTTTTACTTTTATTTTAATTCTCACCAAAGGATATCTTTTTTATTAATTTTAGAGAGAGAAGTAAGAGGGAGAGAGAGAGAAAGAAAAAGAGAGATAGAGAGAGAGAGAGCTGTATTTTTAAATTCATCATACACAGCACATAAAAGTTTTACTGCAAATGGCAATGGTGATAAATTAGTTTTAATACTCTTGATTTTCAGGTAGTGTAAGGTTTTAATTTGGGATATAAAAATGTATATAATCCTCTTAATAAATGTGCTATTTTTGTGTGTTGAGGCTTGTTTGTGTGTTTATTATTTTATACTGTGATTTGTAGTAATGATAGGAGTAATGGCTCTTGAGCACAGTAATAGAATTCAGTGCATATGTAAGTGTCTTCCAGAACATGATCTGAAACACACTGATGTCTGAAGAGTAGTAATGACCTACAATGTTATGTTATTTCTGTTTTCAGGAAATTTACACTGTAGATTGGAAATTTTGAGATTTCTTAGAACATTAACTTGAAATACCTTGTTGGAGAATAGCAGTGAGAAGATATTAACATCTAGAATTTGAAACTGAGATAGGTGCTGAATCAGTCATGCATACTAATAATTTGGATTTTAGACAAGAATAGATTCTTTTCTGGACACTTTATTCTGATCATAAAGCAATACATGGCTATTTTAAGTTCATTGAAAAATGTGGAGAAGTTTTTGCTGTTGCTGTTTAGTAAAAGGAACTCTTTTTTAAAAAATTTTATTTTATTGTTTAAAGTATTACAAATAGTAGTACATATGTCTCATTTTTTCCCCCATTGACCTTCCCCTGGCCTCCCCTACCTTCCGGCACATGCCCTCTCCCCGCTCCCCCCAGTGTCTTGTGTCCATTGGTTATGCTTATATGCATGCATACAAGTCCTTTCAGTTGATCTCTTACTACCACCCCCATCCCCGCAACCCTCCCCTGCCTTCCCGCTGAAGTTTGACAGTCTGTTCGATGCTTCTCTGCCTCTATATCTATTTTTGTTCATCAGTTTATAGTGTTCTTTATTATCCATTAATGAGTGAGATCATGTGGTATTTTTCTTTCACTGACTGACTTATTTCACTCTTAAGTTTACTTTGCCTCCTGCTTATCTAGAAAAATCAAAGGTGAGAGAGAATAATCACAAACTATGATTTTATGCAATCCCTACAAAACTTGAAATCCCAACACTCAGAGATAATCACTAAAAATTCTGGATTGAGGTTTGTAAATTTTTTTTTTCTAAACATGCATAAGTTGTCCCCAACAGAATCAAGATCACATTGAATTTTATATTTTACTTTTTGTAATTCACGTTTCACTTTTTGTACCATAATCTTACTTGTCTTAACAAATAACCCCACACTCTTCCATAAATATGTTAAGGTGAATGTCTACTTTTTGTATTTATGTCAGTTTCATCTTTATTCCTTGTTTCACTTGGTTTCTCCCCACCCTTTCATTCTCTTCAGAATTACCAGCAGCTCCTTGGTGAATGATTGTTGTTAACCACAGATTGTATATTATCCATATTTTTCATATGTATTTCAGTTTACTTAAGCTAAAATAGTATTTACCATTTCTTCCACCTTATATCCCCTGCCTTTGGCATCCATATTTTTCTGTGCTCTTACATAACCCTATAGCTTTAACTGCGTATATACAGAAATACAGGCAAATTTTGGCCAGATTTCCTTATATAAAAATTGAGCAGTCTTTTGCAACTGCTTATTTGACTTTCCTTCTTTAACAATGCCTTGTGGAAATTACACTGAGTATATTTTTAATTGCTCTCCATCCATCCTTTGGATGGACTCTATTTATGTAACCAGTTCCCTGTTGCTCTGTATTCTGGGTGTCTCTTTAATGAACATTTGATTATGACAGTTATACTTGGTTATTTCCTTTGGGCAGAGCAGTAGAAGTGGTACCTCTAGATCAAGTATAAACAATTGATTGTGTGTCATTTTTTAATGAAAATAATAAATGAATGTTTTTTTAAAATATGACTAAAATAATTTTGGTGCAAAGCATTGGTCTCCTGTCTCATTCCTCTAAACTCTTTGGTTCTATTCTCTTTGAGCAACAATTTTAATTCTTTAAGCTATTTCTTTAGGCCTTATCTGCATAATGTGCCTGTACTGTAATTTTTGAATTATTAATTTGGCTAATTAGTTCTTCATTATCTTCCCAACATCATTCTATCAGATTTCCATTCAATATAAATCAGTGTTTACATTATTATCCATATAATAAGGTGACCTGTATTATTGTCTTGGGCACTTCCCTCCTGAAATCTCTATTCTTTTTTAATTTTTCTTTCTTTTTTTTAATGTTTACTCATAGTTTGTTTCCTCATTTTGCTGGAACTATCCTCCAATAACTTTCTAATAAAAGGAAAATTAAAGAAAAAGATGTTTGCCTTTTATGCCTAAAAATGTTCTTATTTTGCCTCCACACTTACTTTGTAGTTGGGAATGTAAGGCCGAGACACATATTTATTTTTAAATGCATCATACCTGGCACAGAATTATTACAGCAAATATCTATGGTAACTAATGAGTTACAGGCTAGTATCTTGCAGGAAGCTTGAGGTTCTAATTTGGGATGGAAAAATCTGTAATAGCCATGGATTATGCTAATTCTATTTCTATTGGAATTTTAGATTATAAAATAATTTTCCTAAGAATGTGGGGGGACATTGCTCCATCACTCATCATTTTTTTCTCTCTGCTGCTTATTTCCCTGCATGTGTCCTGATTTTTCTCATAGAAGCATTTAGGATGTTCTCATATTCAGAAATCTTAAATTTTGTGACATGTTTGATTTTTCCTTAATATTATGCTGGGTGAGCCTTTTTAATATGGGAACTTGTACTTTCAATTTCTTGGCTTTTTCTTCATTAAAATATTATTAAAAACATTTCACTTTATTTTCTCTGCACATTGTTCTGGAAATGGCATTAGTTGGATGTATGTGTCCTTGAATTCGTTATTTGAAACACTTATCTTTTATCTGTGTATGTTCTACCCTTTTGTTATGGTTTTGCTTCCTGGAGAATTTCCTTTAGAAATTTCTTCTTTTTATCTTCTAACGTAACTTTAATTTTATATTTTAATAATTAACCTACTTTTTTGTTGGTTTCTATCTTGCTCTTGATTACAGATATGATAATTCTCATTTAAATGTATTTGGGGTTTTGTGGGGGTTTTTTTTGTTCTTTTTCATATATTTTCTCTGCCCTATCCCACACTGCTGTTTATTTGTCCCTTGTTACTTTTTTGTTGTTGTTTTCTATTTTAAATGGAACGTTCTCCACAATTATGAGTGATTTGTAGCCGTTCCCAGCTGAGTTAGAGACTAAAAAATTCTGTGCGCTTGATAGGGCTCTCACTGGACCTGGTCAACTCCATCAAAGACCTCTATGTCAATATCTAAGTTTTTTTTCCTGGGGGTTCAGATTTTCTCAGAAAAGCAATTTCTTCCTGGAATAACACACATGGTTGGCTTTCAGAATTATGTAAATTAGTAGAGGGTCTTACCATTTCAATACTTAATGGTACCCTTAACTTCTTTCTCCCAATTTCACCACCCTCACCCTCATGCTTAACTCATCATCGCTCGCCCACAACCTTCTGTTGTTTGGCTGTTCACAATTTCCCATATCCTGCATGGGAGAAGGAGAGGCAAATCTGGGTGTTGTCTTTTGCCATTCTATGCACAATCTTTCAACTAAGACAACTGAATTTGGCCATGCAGCTCTGTGACACTTGGTACCTCCAAGTCCTGAGAGGTAAATAAACAATTTCTCCTGTGATATTACCTACCAATACCATTTCAGTTGTAGCTTTCTCTGTTTTACTAATGTAGTTATCTCTTATCCATTCTCTGTTCTTCCAAAAATATTATTGTAATAACTTTTCCATGAATAACTAAGCTTCCCTTTTGGTAATTTATTTTATTTTTAATTAACTGGCTCTTTTACAGTGACAAGCATATGTTTATAGCATAAGTAACAAGGAAGTTAAAGTATACAGGTAAATGATATAAATTATGATTAGTATTCAAGCATCTTGTTGCCATTGTTATATATACACACACACAATTTTTACTTATGAATATTGGTTGTACATTGTTCGAGCTTAAGTTGTAGTTTTAATCAATAATTTAAGACCTTTCATTAAGAAACACGTTGCTTTCAGAAATGACATTACCACCAGCAGAGAACGAGTGTGCTCATTTCTCCAGCCCATGCCAAACTCACAACACAAAATAAACAAACATTTGGCCAATCCAAGAAGTGAATTTGATATCTTATTCTATTCCACATGTTCCTCCTTTCTAATGTATGTGAACGACCAGTTTATTGGTCATTTATAGTTCTCCTTTTTATCTGTCGACTTTTAATACTCTTTGTCTATTTTCCTCAAGCCACTTTGATGGTTTTCCTTTAGAAAGTCTCTTTTTATATTAAAGCTGTAACTTTTGGGCATCAGTTATTTACTCTTTGAGAAATGGTAGCTTGCTTTCCTTCTGCTTGGTCCCTAATTTGCATATGTTCAATAGCTGTTCTTTATCCTAATGTACTTTTTCTCATTCCTTTCTGCAGGCAGATCCTTGCAGCAGCCAAAAGAGCTGACCAAGTGGGCCATTTCCTTTGGGTGGGCTCAGACAGCTGGGGGTCCAAAATAAACCCACTGTACCAACACGAAGACATTGCAGAAGGAGCCATCACCATTCAGCCCAAGAGAGCAACCGTGGAAGGTAGGGGTTATGTCCGTTTATGAAATGCTCAGAAAGTGGTTGGTGCCATGTAGGGTGTTTAAAGCGTCTGTCTCTTTGAGCATTTGGCATTTCTACAATCTATGTTCTCCTTTCATTTGAAAAGAAAAAATTATTTCTCAAAGAAGACACTAAAGAAAAGGAACTCCTCCGCTGGTATCCTGCCTGTGTTTCTTTTCTGATGGGCCAGGTCTCCAAAGATTCCCTAAAACATGCTTTGCACTTTAAAAAGAACTCTATCTTTTCACTCAAAAAGAGATCAAGTATTTGCATTTCTTTCTACTTTGTCTCCATTCCAATCTAATTAATTATTCTCCCCAGAAGACTGCATGGTCTGGGTAGGCCTTTTAAAAACAGGCTGGGTTGTGGTTCTGTCACTCTGGCCTTGTGTTATCTGGGGAGATAAAGATCCCACGTGTGCACTGGGAAGCTCTGAACTAATTTCATCTCCCCATACATGTCTGGAGAAGATTGCCTGTCTTACACCCCAGACCAACATTTGCAGATGGGCACAAGAATGTCAGACATTTTAAACTATCTCCACTCCCTTTCACTCCCAAAACTTGAGTATCAGCTGTGTGCCTTGTTCTGCGCTGACCTGGGAAAATAAGATGAGGACAAACAAAACCCTTGCCCTCACAGCTTACAGACCTGAACAAAGGTGTCAGAAAATAGCCATTGACTGTGTAACATGTGGAACATCCTAACACAATACAAACTAGAGGCCTCAGGACACAAAGGAGGCACTGTGGAAGTTTCTCCGGGGCGGTGATGCTGTGGTTGGGGAAGACTCCCGAGAGGAGGGGAAATATAAGGGGACTTAGAACTCATCGGGCAGATAATGAGAAGAAGCCCCGGGAGAAGCTTCCCACCCAGGAGATAGGAGCAGAGGAGTGAAGAAGCAGGGCGCACTGCGGTAATTGCAAATACTTCACTCTGCAGCATAGTCCTCAAATTCTCCCAACTCTTTAAAAATGTCCCCTTTACAGGGCATTGGGAAAATGTTTCCCTCTTCTAGAGTACCGGGTAATACACTGTTTAGCTAACTGACTCCTTTCTATCCTTTGGGTGTCAGCTCAGACATTAATTTTCCATGCAAGCGAGCGGTGACCATTCCACGAAGCCAAGTCTATGGCTTCCACAGCATCCTACTTATTCCCCAGCATTGTAGAGCCTCTATACTTGTCTCTATGTGGAAATGTATCTGTTATGCACCATGGTACCCTCAGCCTCTAGATCTTGGACTGGATACGGCAGGTGCTCAAACAGCTTTTTAATTGTTTGTGTGCCTGGGTAAGATGGAGGAATCACAGACCACCTGAGAAACCGGCACAGACATGGCTGAAGAGTGGGCCAGAGGTGGATTGTGAATGGTCTTGGAGACTACACTGTGAAATTTGTACTTTTTTTCTGAAAGTCTGAACAGCATCTGTGGATATAAGTAGGATGTGATCAGCGGGTGTTACAAGGCTCACTCGGGTGACTCTGTGGAGGAATGACATGTCAGAGTTGGGTGAGAATCTAAGCAAAGCAACAGATTAAAGTGCCTCTACTGAGGTCCTCTCTTCCTGAGCTATAGACGCCACACAGACATGAATGCCCACACTCCATGATTACTGGCCCCAGCTTCAAATATCTTAGGAAATTAGTATGTCAAGTTCTATACATTTTTGAAACAAAATACATTTTCCATGTATACTTAGGGATGCACAAAGTTATTCAGTCAGATACAAAACTACATCATGAATCTGCCCCCGCCCCCCAAAAAAATGTGGTCCCAAACATTGATATGGGAGAGAAATATTGTTATTAATAAAAATATTGGAATGTATTGAAGCAGCAAATCTTCATGCAAAACTTTCCACACCTACCCAGATAAAATAATGATGATTTTCACTTGGCTGTTTATAAGTGCCATGACTTCTACCTACCCATATTTTCTTCCGTATTGCTACAAAGATTTGTTCACTGACACAGAAGATGGACTATTTAAATGGTGGCTATGCATTCACAGTGTCACACTCCCAAGGAAGTGAAAAAAAAATGCACTCAATTACACAAAGATTTCTGAACAAAGCTATGGAATATATCAAACAAAACTGTGAGTGGAGCACACTGTATATGGGCAAGTAAGCATTCTCCTCTTGTCTATTTTTTCTTTATTTGTTTCCCTTTTTTGTGGATGTTTCATATTGAATTCTAATGGGGTGGAACATCACCCAAATGCTCATAATATTGCTACATCCCTTTATCTTCATGTTATATAATGCTGGATCTTCAAATGTGAATAGAAAAAACGCCAATTGATAATCCACACTTGCTCTCTTTAGATCCATATTTTGAACATGTTCTGCAAACATCTGATTTTTTTGACTGGCCTTTTCCGTATCAGCATGAATAATTAACGATAAATTGCCTTAGGCCAAAGTGCTAGCAACTATATTGCCTTTGTGAGAGTGGTGTTCATCTTCTTTTATCTCCTTTCTGTTTTTGTTCTTCATTTATAGGAAAAAGGGGCCTTCGTGTTTGCTAGCCAAGGGTGTCGTTTATTCCCCTTTCAATTTAATGAGGATAGGAACTGTGCCCAGAAAGGTCAGCCGTGGCTCTGCTGGCTGCCCGGCGCTCACGGATCTCAGAATGTCTTCAGAACTTGGCAGCTCTCCTCCAGCTCCTAAGCCAAAACAGTTCTGTCATTTTTAGTGTCTCTGCATTGTCTGATGAGCCAAGAGATCACTGGCATATTCCTCTCTTCTGTTGCCCCATTAACTAGGACTCTCAGTTATCCTCTCCAGTCCCCAGCAAGTCCACAGAGCAAAACATGCCCAAGTCGCCATTAACTCTTTGTCCTCCAAAGCACTCAGCTTCTCTGAGAGTCGTGTCTTAGGCATCTTCTAATTACAGCCAGAGAGGATCATGGGCCAGCATCTTTTCATCCATGCCGTAATCACTAACATTAGGGAATTAGGATCATGAAGGGAAAGTTTTCAAAGCTGACTATGATGGCTCTGTCGATTGGTGATGATTTTTAAATGGATCCATGGAACAGGTTAGTTCCTGAACTAACTCTGGGATATACACTGAGTGGCCAGATTATTATGACCACCTCATCAGTACAATGAAGTGAATTAGTTATGCAAATAATAATAATAATAAAACCTTGAGAGGATTTGCTTAGGAAGTTTTCAATATTCAGTATTTTTGGAAGTGTCAGTGAAGTACTGATGGGGTGGTCCTAATAATCTGGCCACTCAGTATATATGTGGGAAAAGACAAAAAATGCTCTGGACCTGGCATAAAAGACTGAATAGTTCATGCTTTTTAACTCCAGATTGACATGAATGCTTTCTTTATTTTTTCCTAAAACCAGCAAGAGCAAAGCTATGAAGAACTGAGTCGAAACATTTTTGGCTGCAGTTTGTCCTACTTCAGCCTTCTGTGTTTACCTGGGATGTTCCTCACGTGTCATAAGGTTTTGTTAGATGAATGGAAGGAAAACTCCAAGAAATGAAAGATTGCCTTGAACCATAATACTATTGCTAAGCAATGCATATGCCTTTTAGTCCTGCCGCCTTGTTTAATGAGAGAGCTATTAGAAGATTGCCTATTCACTGTCATGACAGTTTCAGTTATTGGGTCTTTCATAAATGCTTATAAGCTCTATCTGGGTATTGGGCATGGATTTAAACACTGAGATGCAGCAGGTGGCAATCTAGACCCACTTCCTGCTTTCATGAAGTTGTTGTCTTACTGTGGAAGTGGCAGGTGATTAAAAGAAAGAATATGAATAAGATAATTACTCTGAGGTACATTTCCTTAAAGAGCGGCTTGTAAGTTATGGAGATGCACAGGAAGAGGAAGAGGGGCCAGGCAGCCAGGATGCAATGTGGGTCCAGGGAAGACTGGGAGGGTGGGATGCAGGCCACTAGCTCAGCCTCTGCAGCCAGTTCTGGGTTCCCGGCACATACTCCTACCAGATCCTTCGCTACCTGAGTCTACCAAGGTTTCCCATTTTCCTTTTTCTTATTGATCTAGAAAATAACAATTTTCTTCAAGATATATTAAATAGTTAATCTTTTCAAAAGACTTTCTGCCTTTCCCGAGTTAGTTTACTCTGCTGAACCAGTCTCATGGCTCCCTCAGTCCACAATGTGCTACGTGCCCCATTTACAGCAAACGCCGATCATACTCACGTGCGCACGTGGCACTCACATCTGGATTCCGAACCTTGAGGGCAGTGCCTGCAGCCTGTGGCTTCCCTCTGACTTTCCATCTTTGTTCGCACAGCCTTGGCATTCAATGGAGGATCTAGCATGGAGTAAGATTTTGAAAAGAGACATTGATCTTTTCTGTCTATTATATCTGGATGTATTATAATACCTGAATAGGGAAAGGACTGCATGCTTGTGTGAACTTGAAGTTTTCTCTGGATGAGGAAATATTTATCCAAAATGGTTTGTCTCTTTGACGTTTTGTTCTAAGACATTTAGTAGGAAGCTGCACTTGACCCTCCAATTCAGGATCTCTCCTGAAATTTCAGATGTGGGTTTGTACACTTTTTCTTCTGCTCTCGACTTTCTTTGTGGTTTTCGAGGGACTTCCTAGAAAGGCCTGGCACAATGGCTCAATTAGGTGACTTGCTGAAATGTTACAAACATACAAAACAGAAAGTGTGGATAAGGCTGCCTCTGTTTGTCTTAGGCATGTCACTGTACTGTGTCTATGAATAGAATGGACTGAAGAAGGGAGGGTGGGCAGATCAGACGCATGAGAATATCTGTGTGAAGAATTATAGCATCTTATCTTTAATCTGTGATATTTAAACTTGCGATTATGGGCCTTGAGCAATAAAGTGGTAAGAAGTAT